CGGCGGCGGGTCGGCGGGCGATGGCCGTCGAGCCACCCACGCTCCTCTACTCGCACGGCTTCTCCCAGGACGACATCGCCGTCATCGACCCCTCCGAGTGGCACCACTACCAGCCCGGCTGGACCCTCGTCGGAGGCGGCCTCAAGAACAAGGAGGACCTCCGCCGACCGCTCAAGAGCCTCCTCGACCCCAAGCTCAAGCACTACGCCGCAAACGTGCAGGGCTTCTCGCCCGACGACAACCTCGTCACCCTCGCCAACGGCGACCGCATCAGCTACGACCAGCTCGTCGTCGTCCCGGGCATCGGCATCAACTTTGACGCCATCAAGGGCCTGCCCGAGGCGCTCCAGGACCCCGACTCGCTCGTCTCGTCCATCTACGGCTACGACACGTGCGACAAGGTGTTTGCCACCATCGAACGCTTCAAGGGCGGCAACGCCATCTTCACCCAGCCCGCCGGCGTCATCAAGTGCGCCGGCGCACCCCAAAAGGCCATGTGGCTCGCCCTCGACCACTGGAAAAGGGCCGGCCTGTACGACCCGGCAGACGCCTCCAAGTCGGCCATCTCGATCGACTTTGCCACGGGCCTGCCCGTCATGTTTGGCGTGCCCAAGTACAGCGCCCGCCTCGAGGAGCTGCGCAAGGAGCGCGGCGTCAACGGCCTCTTCCAGCACGACCTCGTCGCCATCGAGGACGGCAACACGGCCGTCTTTGCCCGGCCCGACGGCGCCGAGCCGCTGCGCCGGAAGTTTGACCTGATGCACGTCACGCCCAAGATGGGCCCGCTGGCGTTTGTCAAGGAGAGCCCGCTTGCCGACGGCGCCGGCTTCGTCGACGTCGACCAGGGCTCCACCCGCCACAAGCGGTACGACAACGTCTGGTCCATCGGCGACGCCTCGAGCCTGCCCACGTCCAAGACGGCCGCCGCCATCACCGCCGAGACGCCCGTCCTGGTGCGCAACCTGACCCAGACGCTCGCCGGCAAGGAGGCCGACGCCAGCTACGACGGCTACACGTCGTGCCCGCTGCTCACCGAGTACGGCAAGGTGATGCTGGCCGAATTCAAGTACGGCGGGCAGCCCAAGGAGACCTTTGGCAACCTCTTCGGCATCGACCAGGCGACGCCGCGCCGCGCCTTCTACCACCTCAAGAAGGACTTCTTCCCCTGGGTCTACTACAAGTCGTACGTCAAGGGCGCCTGGGCGGGACCCAAGGGATGGGGTGTGCCGCTCAAGCCGGGGTCGGTGGCCGGCACGGCAGGCCGCACCTTTTCCACGGCGGCGTCCCCGTCGGCCGGCAGCAGCGTGCCCGGCT